AATCAATATCGACGATTTTTCGTTGCATACAATACTGATAGGTTATCTGGAGTTTGTTCGTGGGTGACGGTGAGCTGCAGCGGGGGGATGGAGGACATCCTGGAGCTTTGCCCCATTCCAGTCAGCTGTCTCCGTGAGGGTTGCAACGAGGGGTATGTCACTCCGTCATGGAGGGCACAGGCGACTTTCCTCTTTCAATAGGACGTGTTGTTACTACGCTCTGCTCAAGTCATCGAGCATCGAGATAACCAGACGGTTTAATGAGAAGTTGAAAGGAAAGCATACGATGTCTGGTGTTTTGAAGACGACACTGACGTTGATGGTGTTTTTCAGGACCATATGGAAAGACTATGGATGGGACTGGGCAGTGTTTAAGAGGAGACGCTGGGGTGAGGGCAAGGACTCGAAGAGAGATGCATCATATGGTAAGGGATGAGATGGGCCGAATTGGATGGAGAATCAGTATGGAGTAAGTACTCTCTCTGCATTCGCACACCTTGGAGCAAGGTAATTCGGAAGGCCGAGTACATGGAAGTGCTGCAAGTTTATCGGCGTCTCTCGGTGCGGCAGTCGAGGGAATGAATCCGCTTTTTGCTCCCTTGGGCACACGGCAAGGGCCCTAGGCTTCAGGTGATCGTGGGTACTTTAGGTACGTCTCCACCTTTCAAAGGTGCATGAGACCGGGACCCCCCCAACCCGGCCAAAGATACCGGCACGTTAAACACGACAACAACACACTGCACACTGCACAGGATGGACCTTGGCACCCACCACACACCTCACGCTTTCAACAAGGGACGGATGTCTAAGGGAGGGGAGATGGGCAGTCACACATTTCGACCTGCACTAGACACACTAGAGACTGCTAGCAGCAACGGTCGCTAGACTTATCGGATCCGAACCGTCAAACCCAACGTCCGTCCGTCCTTTCCTTGTCCCGCCCGGCACATGATCGCCTGAATGGGAACGGTGACAGGGCCTTTTGCCAGGTTATCGAGGGAGGTTACAGCAATGGCCTGCTGGAACGGGTCTCGAGTGCCGCCCGACATGTGAGTTGTTATCGGTCCCTTGAAGAATACGCATAGCAAATGGATATCTGACTCCCATGTCTATCAGTCTATCTACAATATCATGACGCGGTTAGCAGCAATATTGGACTGCCAAGTCATCCCTCGCTTCTGATTCATCTCGATATCAAGGCTGCCTTATCATCCCAATTTCAGCATACCCTGAGGCTGAATTCAACAACCAAGCCCAAAGCATTGACAAGTGCCAAACAAAGCTGGGGAAATGTCTTGGAGGCGGGTGCTTAGTCCTGTTGTTTGCCACGAGCTGGGCGCTTGTTCGAGCGAAGCATCTGCGAACACCCCCGACAACCTAGCTCGCGCTTCTCATCCTCCCTCTCAGCATCAAATCGGAGCCCACCCTGCCGAGGGGAATACGCCCTCCCTCGCGGTCATCGCCCTCCAGAACTCCAAAAAGCTAGCACTGGCCTGCCCAATGGCGATAGCAACTGACCCCAAATTGCAACTCCCCGCATCCTGATGGCAACCACACCACAATCTCCAAATCCAATCAGATACCGACATCACCGGGCGCCATGTGACGCAAGATTGCATCTGGCAAGGGCGAATGCTCATCTCTCAGACTGGCTCGTCACTTTTCTCAGAGACGCGAGAGTTGACCGCTTGCTACCTCGCGTGCCTCGCTTCCTTCACTGGCCCCCTCGGGCCTTCTCTTGCCCTCTCCGGTCTCTCTAGCTCGCTGCTCTGCCCTGATTTTCCATCGAGAATCGAGTGTCGATGCCCCCCTGGCCTCCTCACTTGGGAATACCACCTGCCAGCTAATCAACGTTGCGCAGCCCTTCAGGAGACACGGGCAAATCATCGCGTCCGAACTATCGGCATACTTTCCCCTTCCCGTAGGACCGGCATTATGATGGCCAGGTACCCGTCCTGTTTGTTAGTCAGAAGCTCGGCTAGCTCACAGGAGCTCCAAAGAACATGGAGGGGAAGACGATGTCCATGAGCCACGAGCTCGTCGAGGCAGGCCATAAAAGAGCGGGTGACACGCCATGTTTGCCCGCAGTTCTCGAGCTTGGAAGCTTGAGTTCATAGACTGATTGCCCATGATGCCTCGTCACTCTCGTGCTGGCCTTGAGATGCCCAGACGCTCGTTCTTCGCCGTCTTTGCCTTGATTTCGTTCGTGCTGCTCGTCACCATCAGTCTCTCCCAGCTAGGCACTCGACAAGGTGCCACCCTCAAGTTTGAACGCAATGCCGAAGGAGAGTGGCATGCCAAACCCAAGACGCGTGCCGCGGCGGGCGACAAGTACCTCCTTGGTGTTGGCAAGGCTGACATCACCGGCCCTGTCGTCGAGGTTGGCTTTGCAGGGTACGCTGATCTGAGCCAGGTTGGAACCGGCTTGAGACAGCGGATCTACAGCCGTGCTTTCATTGTCGGGGATGTGAGCAAGCCGAGCGATCGCTTCGTCTATCTTGTGCTAGATACTCAGAGTGGTGACACGGCCGTTCGCAAGGGCATCCTCGAGGGTGTTGCAGCTCTTGGTTCGGGATACTCCGTGTATAACAAGAACAACGTTGCCGTGACCGGTACTCATAGCCACGCTGGCCCAGGAGCTTGGTTCAACTACCTCCTGCCGCAGGTCACTAGCTTGGGTTTCGACAAGCAGAGCTATCAGGCTATTGTTGACGGTGCAGTTCTCTCCATCAAGAGGGCGCACGAGTCTCTACAAGAGGTATGGTGGTCATCTTCGAGAGACTTGCCAATTGACTAACACTCCTAGGGATATCTCGACGTCGGAACCACCGAAGTCACTGACGGCGCCATCAACCGCAGCTTATATGCCTACCTCAACAACCCCGCGGCAGAGAGGGCCAAGTACAGCGCTACCACCGACACAACCCTGACCCTCCTCCGCTTCCAGCGCGCCTCTGATGGCAAGAACATGGGCGTCCTCACCTGGTACCCAACCCACGGCACGTCGATCTTGCAGAATAGCACGCACGTAGCGGGCGACAACAAGGGTGTCGCGGCGTATCTTCTCGAGAAGGACCTCGCGAGTGACGCGAGCGCCGCACCAGGCTTCGTAGCCGGCTTCAGCCAGGCGAATGTGGGTGATACCACGCCCAATGTACTCGGCGCCTACTGCGATGACGGTTCCGGCCAGCAGTGTAGTCTGGAGAACAGCACCTGTGCCGACGGCAAGAGCCAGTCGTGCCACGGTAGAGGTCCCGCGTTCCAGAAGTTGGACTTGGGTATTTCGAGCTGTTACGAGATTGGACGTCGTCAGTATGCCGGTGCCAAGTCTGTCTATGTAAGTTGTAGTCCTGGTGTGGGATCTAACATAGCTGATCAATCCTCCTTGTCAGAACGCCCTTGCTACAACTTCTACTCCTGTCATCGGCACCAGCGTCAAGTCCTTCCACTTCTTCCAAGACATGTCGTACTTCAAGTTTCCCCTCGCAGACGGTACCGTCGGCCAGACATGCCCCGCCGCACTTGGCTACTCCTTCGCCGCGGGAACCTCAGACGGCCCGGGCGCCTTCGACTTCACCCAGGCTGATTCTGGCACTCCCGATGCCAACCCTCTTTGGGCAGTCGTCTCCGGTCTTCTCAGGACACCCAGTGCTGAGCAAGCTGCTTGCCAACAGCCAAAACCTGTGCTACTGGACGTTGGTGAAATGAGCACCCCGTATGCTTGGAGCCCCAATATTGTAGACATTCAGATGCTGCGTGTTGGACAGCTGGTCATCGTCGTTGCGCCTGGTGAAGCTACGACAATGAGTGGGCGGAGATGGAAGGCTGCCGTCAAGGAGGCTGCGAAGAGTATTCTTCCTAATGATCCTGTTGTCGTCCTCGGTGGTCCCGCCAATACCTATGCCGTAAGTTTTGCGAGCTTCTTTCTCTTGATAGTCACTGACAGTTTCCAGCACTACATCGCGACCCCCGAAGAGTACGCCATCCAACGCTATGAGGGCGCATCCACCCTGTTCGGACCCAATACTCTTCCGGCTTACATCAACCTCACCGTCTCCAACATCGCCTACCTCTCCCCCTCTTCCACATCCACACCCGCAGCAGGCCCTTCGCCTCCAGACAACCGAGCCAACTCCCTCTCCTTCATTACTGGCGTTGTCGTAGATGGTGCGCCAGCAGGCCGCTCCTTCGGACAGGCCATCGGGCAGCCATCGGCGTCGTATACTCGCGGCGCGGTAGTCAACGCCACGTTTCAAGCAGCGAACCCGCGGAATAACCTCAGGCTTGAGGGGACGTACGCCGCGGTCGAACAGCTGCAGAGCGGGAAATGGGTGCAGATCAGGACCGACGCGGATTGGTTCCTTGTTTACACTTGGACGAGAACGAATTTCTTGCTCGGGTATAGCGAGGTTGTGATTAGTTGGGAGACTGGGACGAGTGACGGGGCTGGCCCGGGGACGTATCGCATCAAGTATTATGGTGACTCGAAGCCGTTGATTGGGAGCATCTCGGCTTTCGAGGGGACGAGTGGGAATTTCACGTTGGTTTAGGGGAGGGCCAGAGGGGTGGTGATGATTATGGATTATGACGGTTGGGTTTTCGTAGTGATGAATCGTAATGTCTTTTTCTCACGAATGCCTACTGCCTCATTTCTCCCAAATTTATGTTGACTCTTTTCAACGGCTTATCGAACAGCCAACCCATCCTGCACAATGTGGCAGTAACATCCGAGTACGTACTTCTTCATACATTCAGCAGGCGGCCTATCACCACTCAGCCTGCCTGCAGTTGGAACCACGAGGGCTCCTCAAGGATAGGTACATAAGCACCTCCCACCCCTTCGCCCGAAATCATTCAACGAGCTACACTCTCCATCAGCATCCACCTCCCAGTCTGATTGCAAGCGTGTTTCTGGTGAGTCCACTGCCAGTTTCATTTCCGTCCAAAGTGGACTAATGGCTGACCAGGTACTGGAGCATTTCAAATTCAAGCAGCCTAACATGGATTCCGAAGAGTCTGAAGGATCTTACTCCTCGATAAACGGTAGCCTCTGTGACATGTGCTGGGACTGTATAGTGTTCGACGACAGCGACGACAAGTTCTACGAGGGCACGAACAGTGACGATGAGCCTACCCTGCGGCATTCGGAAGCGCAGAGCGATACAATATTCTTGAGACCCACTTTTTATTGGAAAGACACACTACCCGACTTGCCCCTGATGGCTGAATCCGCTACTAATGGATGCCGTATGTGTGGTTTTCTTCGGGAAGAGCTCCTACGACAGGAAATATGTCACGTTGGCGACATTCGTATCGGTGCGGGATATCTGTTTGGCGGGAAGGGATATGAGCTCGAGATCATCGACACAGATCCTGGCTTGGCCTTCTGGAGATGCGTTGTCTATGCGGTCAAAAGAACGACCAACAATCTTGACAAGCTACACCGAATTGCAAATCTTTATTTTGACATCGAGTCTAGCGACCGTAAGTTCTTCAACAATTTTTGCTTTGACTGGACTCTGAACTCCACGTGAAAGGTGATTTGCTCCGATGGCTGAGGGTGCATGCGAAGCCCGCCCCCGGACCATTGGACCCGGCCAGTGTTGAATGGCTCCAAACACAGCTCCGACAATGCGACTATCACTGTGGCCTTGGAAAGCCAGAGGTGCCATTCTTACCCACCAGACTGATACATGTCGGTCAGAATGAGGATGACGCACCTCGACTTGTCATCGTTGAAAACATGCTCGAATCTGGTAGGATCGATGCTCTCGACTATGCGACACTGAGCTATTGCTGGGGATCCAAAGAAGACGCTCTCAAGCAGACAAAAACCACAAAAGACACCATTTTGACCCATTGTCAAGGGATCCCTCTTGACTCCTTAAGTCCCGTCATACGGGACACCATCAAGGTCTGCAGGGCGCTCGGTATATTCTACCTCTGGGTTGACGCTTTGTGTATCATTCAAGAAGACAATGTAGACTGGGACCGAGAGAGTCAAATGGTGGGACAGACCTACCATTCTTGTTATGTGACTATCTGCCCTCTCTCTTCACAGTCTTGTCTTGAAGGCTATCTCGGACCACGACCGCAGGGTCTTGAAGTTGAATTTCAATCATCACGCCATGAACATATCAGAGGTACCTACAGACTTATTCTTTCATCGACAAACATCGACGCAGGCATATTGGAGGAGTTGGTAAGCAAAACACCAGTAGTTCATAAAGATCTTGAGCGATCCGCTTGGGATCGAAGGGGCTGGACCTTTCAAGAGAGTATTCTTTCACCCCGCATGATCCTGTTTGGGCCCAACATGGGCCATTTTATCTGCGAAATCCAATTAACGTCCGAGAACGGATACATCGACTCTAATAGGATCTATGGTGAACTACAAGTCATGATAAGGAGAGCTTTTGGAAAGCCTTCCAAGCAGCCGGAGCGCTCAGCGACTACCAAGATGGGTGTGTACGGCAATTGGCGTGCTGTTCACAGGGTCTCGGAAAGAGCCTGGACATATCCCGAGGACATACTCCCCGGACTTGCCGGTATCGCTCAGGCATTCGCAACACTTACGGGCGACACATATCTGGCAGGCTTGTGGAAAGACGATCTACATATCCAGCTGCTTTGGTACATGCCACGACCACCAGCTGATGAATTAGCCTCAGTTGTGCACAGCTTGCAGCACGCAGATCCGTACATCGCGCCATCATGGAGCTGGGCTTCACAAAAAGAGTACCAGGAGGACTTGATTGGAAGACAAATCAGCATAGATGCTGATGAGGTGGTGAAAGGAAATTGGGTGCGCTCATATTCTTCTAAGATAATGCCTCGCCATAACAGGCCCGACTTTGCGCTGCTAGACTACCGCATGGATCTCCGAGGGAGCAATGTCTTTGGGGCTCTTACTGGAGGCTTCCTTCGATTAAAAGGTAGAGTATGCCTGTTCCCTTCAGACGTCAGAAGGGAGCTAAAGCCCCACAGTGACTGTCGCCCATTGTACGGTCAGTTTTCAGGCGGCATCGGAACTTGCATGCTCGATTGGAACGTCAACGAAACCTTGGTACAAGCGCCGAAGAGTATGCGATTATTATTGGTATCGAGCTGCTGCTCGGCAACAGTGAACTGGAAAAACCTGAAGTTTTTGGCGAATTGTGACGACGAAGACTTTGATGATTGGGTGCCGAGTGATGCGGAAGTTGGCGGCATGTCATTTCCTGACGGTTACGAGAGTATTGAAACGTGCCGATACTGCGCGGATCCGATGCACAAGCGTACTGGATATGGCCTTGTGTTCCATCCGGCGGAAGAGCCTGGATCGTATGTGAGGGTTGGAATCTTTGTGATGTTTGCACATAAAGGGGGCATGGATCTCTTCAAGGATGAGGAGGAGATCAAGCTCGTGTAGTATCCTAACTCTGTTGAGGCAGTTTGTACATGTAATGCCGGAGAGCAACATGAACCGGGGATCTCACGTTGTCATAGAGACCTAGTCTACAGTGATGGCAATGGACCTTCCGCGATGACGGAAAGCAGGCTACTCGGAAGGTACAACTGAGGTTTCGCGGCACTGTGCACATTTCAGCGGGGCTTGATGAATGCCCGCTGGAGCTACCTTACCTCATGATGTATCTGATTTGTATGAGAAAGTCGTCGTGACTATGCTCGCAAGAAGAATTCCACATCGAGTAGGCCTGCTCGTCACATGTGTTGCGGTCTTGCTTGGCAGAGGGATTCGCTAGAGTATTTGACCAATATCGAACCGCAAACGGCGTCTATACGCGGAAGAAAACGTCCGCAGAGTCTTATAATCGCCATACAATCACATTCGTCAATACATGAGACAGGGTATATCTGTCAGAAACTAAAATGGAAGGGACATTGCCCATAGGTTATCCCGCCAGCGACCTCAGAGAACGGAAGGGGAGAAGACGGGAAGGGGCATCACCAACATCTCCCCTCACTAGCTAGCACCAGCCTAGTGTTTAGACTGCTTTCATAGAACGGTTGATCTTCTTCATGATCTCAAACACGTCTGTCACTTTGCGAGCCCACTGTCTCTCTTTCTGAGATGTTTGATCATCATTCCTCTTTCCCCAATGATCCTCTTAGCAGTTGAATCCTGGCGTTTTTAGCGGCCCGACGGCATCGGTCCGTCCCTCGGATCTTGTGACTCGAGTCAGCGAACTGCAAACGGGAATGCTCACTTGACTCTGGGCCCTCTACTTTGACATCTGATTGGGATGAGAGATAGCCGTTGGACTCACGTATCTTGTAAAGTGAGTCAAGAGATCGGAAACAAATCCCCCCGCATTTGCTAGTTTCGTTTCGGGAAGATGTTCGCTGCTCGCACTCATGTCTCAGTCACAGCTCAGTCAACACCATATACGTCCGAGCTTGCCAAGTTCGTGTGGATTCAGATCAGATTAGCTGATTTACCGCCGAGAGTCGTTTTGCAGCCTGGCTGCTTCAGGAATAGAACTCGCTTTTGGCCGTTCATCATCCAATGCTACCGAGGTTGATGAAGGTTATGCTCAAAGGCGAGATGGTAAAGCTGAGGATCTTGAAAGAGAGAGAGAGAGAGAGAGAGAGGGATTTCGAGCGTTCCCTATCCAATAGAAATGCTTAATGAAGCGGTGTAGCTCGAAAGACCTCCAGAACAGGATGCCGATTTGATGAAACCGGGTCTTGGCTATTCTGTGTGTCGCAACGTAGGAGGAAGTATCACCTCTTGAGATTTCCAGCTTGTTGAAAGATCGTAGCTCTGATACGCCATCTAAGTGCTGAATCCAAAGTATAAAGATGTTCCAAGGTCTCGAAGGTATTGGGAAGGAATTTGTTCTCAAAACCAAACCGTACCGAACGATCACTCATCTGCATTCTCACACTCCTCGACTTGATAAATAATTTCGCTCCACCCGTCTAGTACAATGGCATCAAACACCTCAACTATTCGTGCTTTGCTGGTCGGCGTTGATGACTACAAGACAAAGAACTACAAAGACAACCTTCATGGCTGCGTTAGGGACATTGATATGACCCAGAAGGCCCTCGAAGACTACATCCGCGTGCCCTCTGCCAATATTACGAAGTTGATCTCGCCTCTCCCGGAATGGACTGCACCCAAGCTTGACCCCGATACTCTTCCTACAAAGAATAATGTTCTCGACGCTTTGGACAAAATCTCCAATGAATCCAAGCCTGGAGATTTTGTTTATATCCACTACTCCGGCCATGGAAGCCGCCAGAAAACGAAATTCAGCGCCGAAAAGGGCGAAAACGCATGGGACGAGTATATTTGTACACTGAACGGCCGTATCAGTGACGTCGAATTCGGCAGAGCGCTCGACGCACTCAGCGAGAAACAATTAGTCGTGTTTGCGGTTCTGGACTGTTGTCATTCGGGCGGCGCGACGCGTAGTAGTGGACCTGCGGACGGTGTTCGATGTTTCAATGATGATTCGGAGCTGGCTCTCGCCAATGACGCAACTGGCTCAGGAGAACGAGGTACGGGAGAAAGGAAGACCGTACTTGTCGAAAATACCTGGTTCAACACGCGCGGCAATTACAATATCATAGCGGCTTGTCAACCGCATGAAGTGGCCCGTGAGACATCGTATGATGATCTTGGTGGCCTTTCCAGCGGGGTATTGACTTATCACTTCGTCAAGTCTTTGGAGGCACTTAGGAGCTCAGAAGAACCCATGACTCACAACCGGCTCCCAATTACATACAATCAGCTCATGGGTAAACTGCAAGCGATCCTAAAGGAAACCAGGACAACATGGGACCAACAGCCCATGCACATGGGCGATGGCAACAAAACTGTCTTCGGGACCGGCCGTATCAATGACAGGGTGTTCAACATGTCGACGAACGTAGTTAAAGTCAATAAGGAATCTGTTTCCTTCAGAGATGGGAATGCTTCAGGCATCAACATTGGGGATCGTTTCTTCATCTACGATCCGTCCCAAACTTCTATGGGGCTCATTCTCCCAGATTCAGATCCGGTAGCTGAAGTTGAGGTTACAAAGGCGTTTGAGTTCAGCTCCGTCGCGGGCTTAGTCAAGGGGAAGTTGCCCAAGGGTAACATTGGGAGCTTGGGGAAGGTCAGGCCAGGATGGCTTGCTCGGATGTCACGAAGAGCACACGCTGCTACGGTCTACGTCGATATTCAAGATCCCAATAGTCCGATACTCGAGGCCATCAAAACCGCCTCAGTTATTGAAGCCAACGCCCTCGCTCCCCTGAGTTGGACATACCCCCCGAAAGACAACAGCACGATTCCAGACTACGTTGTCTCTGTTGGCCAAAACACAACCTTTGAAATCCAACACAAGGATTATGGGCTTCTCCCACACATCCCGTCCATCAATGCCAACGGATCTGGCCCGCGGAAACTAGTATATCTGCTCCAGCATATTTCGATGTACCATGCGACTATGAAGCTGAAGCCCAAGGCTGGGAGTGTCCGGAAAGTCGAACCGAAGTATCATCTCAACTTCGAAGATGTATCTGATGAGATCAGTCAAGAAGGTGTTGTATCAGCTTGGGAAATCACTTTCACGAACAAGGATCAAAAGGTGCTCTATGTCACCATCCTTGACCTTGATTCTGCCTACGGGATCTCGCAAACGTACCCAGAAGGCAGCGCGGCCAGTGTGGCTGTGGATATTGGAGGCCATTTCACGTACCGTACCGGCATCGCAGTTCCGGACCTTCTACAGGACGAGGTCGATAATCCAGAATTCTACATGGAAGACGTTTTCAAGGTCATCATCACCGATGAACAGGCATCATTCAGCCACCTTGAACTGCCTGATCTCGAGAATCCAAATGACCTTGGAAGCTCCGAGAGAAAGACAGTGTCACTGGCCCCGAGGCAAGCTGCCTGGTATGTTGAGGAGAAAATCATCCGTTACCCGTATTAGTGAACATTCCTACGGCGAAACTCGACAAGAGCCCGGAAGAAGGCTTGGCAAGTTGCGATACTTTACTTTTGGTGTAAATTTCTTTCCGCACACGTCGTCACCTAAGGAGGATAGCAATTTTGTCCCTTCTGGGCAATTCCCACAAGATGCCAATGCGGCTCCCTGGATTCTGAGTACTTTAACTTGCTACAAATTCAATACTTTTCATGCTTCTTCGAGATACGTAAGTCATGCGCGCAGTGTTCGCCACAAAAGTAGATAGTGGGATGCGGGTTTGAAATCGCTTTGCACGAATTCGTCCAGGCCTTCCCAAAATAAAGTTCTTCCAGGCGCGGACTTGTAAAATGACAAGGGCTACATGCTGGGTCCTCAGAGCCCAAGGAACACCACAGGGCTGGGATATTGGACGCAACATCCATGGAAGGCCGAGGATGGTATGCTATCTCGATCGGACCTTGTCTGGCTGGAGACCAACAATGTGCCAAATACCCCGTAGTACAAGTATTCCATACATTTGGTCTGCCTACCTATTGCCGAACGCCTGTGATCACAGCAAACCACAGTGTGCTCGGTGTGTTCAGCTTCGGACAGCCTGCCTGGCTAGCGTCCTCGTGCCGCCAGCCCTGTCTTGCCTGGAAGATGCTTGCTTCTTCAGAGAAAGTACGCTAAGGTATCTACGGCGAAGGCCGAGGTCGGCAGATGTGCTACAAAAAGGGGGCTTCTGGGCCCGGTCAAAGTCGACTGCAAGTCTGCACGCGTGCTTTCCAATGTTGCAACGCGTGAACCCACCCCTGGTCCCTTGCGCAGCACGTCACTTACGGATAGACTAGAAAAGAGCTAGAAAGAAACTTCCTACACTACGGAAGCTAAACGTCCTCAAGTACTGAGAGGGCAATCGTCGCTATTTCATATTGTCGGCCGCAGGAAGACTCATCATCGAAGAGTGGCTTGTGCTTGTCTTGCACTTCAGCCGTACTGACGCAGTTGCCTCAGAGGGTGTTAGCTATCTCTGAAAGGGGCCGAAGGTTAAGACATTCTGCAGGCTTTGGGGAAAAGCCCCGCGCTTTCGTGGAAATAAACCATTGGCAGGACCACCAACAGAAGAGTCTGCCTGGTGAGTGACGCCTAAGATACAGCCAACTCGAAGCTACCTCGACTTTCAGGCCATGGAGGATGCATGCTGTTCTTCGTTGATAAACACAATGGGTACAGATAGCGTGTGAGCCAGCACGCTATGCACGTGGCGTGGAGACCCTGGCCAACTGAAGACGAGAATATCTGCCCCCCTTGCTGTAAGGAGAAGTGGTCGACCATGTTTCAGTCACGAGGCTGATGAAGAGCAACTCCTCTTTGAGAAGTTACTTATGACCTGCAAGCCCCCAGTGAATTTACTCCTGGTTTAATGCTTCTTCTCCCCTTTTGACGCTCTCCGCGGAGTAGGTGTCGAGTTCACTGCCCCGAAACCCAGCCCCTGTCCAATTTCTACTTGTAACCAAGGTTCAAACCTTATTCCTGCTGACAGGTCTCTCCCGGCAACAAGCCAGGCCGCCGCCGAAGGAACGGAAACATGCGGGCCTCCTTCGAACACAATGCCTATCGATACCTGATTTGCAGTCTGCTTCTGCTGCTCAGCGGCTTCCGCCAAGCGCACGCTACGTATTACCTCAACCAGGCCGACGGGTACGATTCACTGCCGTCATGTGCCGAGCCGCCCATCAGCTCGATCGTCCGGGACATGGTGGCGGGGTGCGGTGACGGCGGGAAGACGACGTCGTATAGCTGCTTCTGCACGGCGAGCTCCGACAGGTTTAGGGAGATTATTGCGACGTCGGTCGCGAAGAATTGCGGACGGTCTGGGGTCGAGGTTGAGAGTGCGACGAGCGTGTTTGATGCGTATTGTCAGATGGAAAAGACTGACAAAGTCACTACTTGTGAGTGGTGCCTTGATTTTGATTCGATCATCGATTCGGTGTGAATCCATGCTGATACGAAGACATTGAAGCTGCAACTGGATTGACCTCGACATCCGCAACTGCGACGTCTGCGGCGGACACCGCGTCCTCCTCACCATTTAGCTCCGGCGGCCTCACGAGCGTTGCGTCACCGACGTCGTCTTCATCACCGGCTGCTTCGAATTCCGGTAGCTCTGGTATATCCACCGGTGCGATTGTTGCCGTGAGCGCATGTACTTCTCTCGTGGCTATTGCCCTGTGTGCTGCGGCCTTCTTTTTGTGGCGCCGGCGACAGAAGCGCTCGCGGCCGGGCCGGGATGCACAGGGCCATGTTTATGAAGTCAATCATCCGGGCGAATTAGACGGTAGTCAAATAGCATCCAACGGCGCGGAAGAGTACTATGCTAAGCCGGAGCTGGAAGCGAGGAGTGTTGTGAGAGAGATGCATGTTGAACCAAAAGTCAGGAGGCATCAGTTGGCCGAGCTGCAATGATGCGGGTGTGTTGATGTATGGAGCTTGAGTGAGTAAAAGTGCTGAATGAGTATAACAATGCCACTCCATGATTCTTTAAGGTGTGCCGGAGGATACTCGAGCAAAAGTCACTCACGTGGTATTGTGAATGCCACTTGGTGCATTGAATTTGACCCGTTAGGTTCAGGACCGAGTCCACACAAGGGTGCTTTGAAGACATTATTACATTATTAGACAAGCTACTCTACAATCACTCTACCGCGATTAGACAGCAAATCCACCCGAGTTCTTCTGCCTCGGCTCGCCAGCTGCCTCGAACGTGCCGTTCGGCAGCAGCCTCACACCCTGCGCCGTGCTACCACCAGGCGCAACCCAGGTGACGGTCGTACCCAAGCTCGCAAGGTAGCTCGTGGTGCCGTTATCGTAAGCGTACTCGAAAGCAGCCGTGTTGGGGCTTAGTTGGTCGTGGAAACGAGGCTCGGCGAGGGCCTGCGGCGCGGTCAGGTTCCTGTCGAGGACGTTGTGGAGGTTCTGGATGGTGGCGGTGATGATGCGGCTGCCGCCGGCCGAGCCGATGACGAAGTAGAGCTTGCCGTCGGGGTGCTCGACAATGACGGGGGAGATGGAGGAGAGGGGTCGCTTGCCGGGGCGGACGTAGTTGGCCGGGCTGGGGATGAAGCCGAAGGCGTTGCTGGAGCCGGGAATACTGAAGTCGTTCATCTCGTCGTTCATGATGACGCCTGTCTCGGGGACCATGAGCTGGGAGCCGAAGAGGAGGTTGACAGTCGTGGTGAGGGAGATGGCCATGCCGCTGGCGTCGGCGACGGCGATGTGAGAGGTTCCCGGGGTCTCGAGAGACTCGATGCCCTCTGGGTTGTAGTAGGACACGTTTTGTGTGCGGAAGTCGGAGATCTTGGAGCGGATTTCGGCGCCGACCTCGGGGGAGATCATGCTCTTGGTGTAGGCCGAGAGACCGTCGACAAAGGACGGGTCGCCGAGCTTGGTGCGCTGGCCGTAGGCGAAGCGCATGGACTCGTCCAGTCGGTGGACGGTGCTGTTCCGCGAGGCCGGGTCGCCAAACCCTTCGTATCCGCTGACGATGTTGAGGGCGCTGAGGGCGACGATGCCGCCGGAGGGGGCGTTGCAGGCCGTGAGCTTGTAACCCCTGTATGAGATCTGCGCGGGCTCTCTGATGGCAACGGTGTAGTTCTTGAGGTCGGCCATGGTCATGGTGCCGTTGGACTTTGACAAGGCGGCAATGGTGGCGTTGGCGATGGCGCCGGTGTAGAAGGCGTCGGCGCCCTCCTTTGCGATGACCTCGAGGGTGTCGGCGTAGCGCTTGCGCGTGATCGTCTCGTTGAGCTTGAGGAGGGTACCGTGCGGCGCGAAGTCGATGGCCCATGACGGATCATCGGTCAGGAAGTTGCCATTGGGGGTGACTGACTTCATGTATCTGACCAAGTCCTCGTTCACGCGCCAGCCGTAGCGGGCGACCTTGATCGCAGGCTCGACTACCTTTGACCAAGGCAGCTTGCCGTACTTCTTGTGCAGATGCTCTAGGCCGCGGAGCTCGCCAGGGACACCGCTGAGAGAATTGCCATGTCAGTCTTGGTGTCACTTGTTTGCACTGGCGCAGGGATTCAGCTTACCTAGCGAGACCTCCGTACAAGCTGGCTCTTGTGTTGTTCGTGTACATGTCCTCGTAGGCGGCGGCCGGGGCCGTCTCTCTGAAGTCAATGAACTCGTAGGTGCCATTGCTTGATCTTACAAGCATGAAGCCGCCGCCGCCGATGCCGCTGTGGTACATGCCAACGGTACCGACGCAGAGGACGGTGCCGACCGTCGCGTCGGCAGCATTTCCGCCCTTCTTGAGGAGCTCGGTGCCGATCTTGCTGCAGATGTCGGACTCTGAGGCGACGGCGCCCAGCTTCGGGATCGTGCTGTGGCTCGGGGCCGCGAGGGCGGGCTGGGTGGTGATGCCGAGCAGGAGCTGCGCAAGGGCAGCGGAAGTCAGGCAGAACTTCATGATGAGCCGGCTGGGGAGGTTGAGCAAGCTTCACAAGGTGTCTCGTCTACTTCACAGCTCGTCGAGAAGGAACAGCACGGTGTACCTGGGTGGTCCTAAGGGAAAGCAAGCAGCAGTATTGGAACCGGAAACGGCCTGGCAGAACCGAGAGAAGGAGGATACCGGCGAGGTAACCACGAGAAGAAGCTGCCAACGTTTAATATGAACGGAAATCTTCACGCTCTATGGCGCAATCGAGCAGACTCGCCGACTTCGCCCACAAACCGAGGAGATTATGGACCCGACAGTTTGGGGGGGGAACGTGGAAAAGGCTCATAGCTTCATTTCGGCAGCCTGCAGATCATGAACGGTGGCCGCTGTACCCTATCGCAATCGTTGGTAATGTCAGATGTGCCCCGTTTCCGTAGATAGGGAAAACCCGATTGCGGAATTGAAATATGCTTTGTCAAATTGTCCCACGTTCTACCTAGCTTCCCCGCGTGTATGCCTGTTCGCCTCGCCGTTCAGCAGCAGGGCCCGGCCCGGTTCGTGACGTCGAGCTTCAAAGTTCGGTGAGCTACCTAGATGTTACTGCAAAGCATCAGCAACCTCTGGAGTCCTGGACTCTGTACCTAGCCACTAGTGCGGGCAGTCTGCAGGAAACCTGCATGGAAGCCAACATGGAGCCAAGAAACAGCGAGTCAAGTGCGTGAGTGGCTGGGATTCGGCGTGTAAACCGTAAGCCAAAACTGTCAGTATCCAAGTCTTCATTGGTTATCTGAGGGGGAAGACCGAGGGAGGAAAACGTTTTGGAGAAATATCGAGCGAAATGCCGGGAGGAATCCACTCCGCAAACAATCGGGCGGGGTTCACCTGAAGTCTCCTGCCTATTCCGGATAGCTCACGGCGACCCCGGTATCGCCGGGGGAGGCATCCCCGGTTCACCATGGGTCGGATGGGACGGGTACGCGGCGCGCCAAGATAACAGAGCTTGCGATTTATCATTGCTTGAGCTGTCAAGTTGTTGATAGCACGCGCGGTCCCATAGATAAACTACTTTATTTCGATTATTGTCATGTCATGTACTCTAGTATCCAAAAAATGCACTTATCTATGTGTTCCTCATAGAATGATCAAACCGATGACTTCGCTATACTCAGCTCTCTTGCAAATGCCATTCTTGAATAGCAGGCTAACAAACGATCCAACGCCCAATTAACCACACAGCTCAAGCTTTTGAGATCGAGTTTATATGCTTTCATCGCTTTCACATTAATAAAAGCTAGATTTAACTTAATCTGAACCATGGATTACTGCCATTACTGTTTGCAATCGCGATACCGACACAGGTGAACGGACTCCACACAAGTCCCGAGAAACCCGCATTTGAACTTTACCAAGAATCTAGCAGCCATCAGCCGCACGTGTGTAACGAAACTACGCGGTCGCAGTTGTAAAGTTGTCTCTAAATATTTTAGTAGAGTAGGTCGCTCTGCAAACAAACTTTAGTGACATGCTCCTCTGACTGGTCAAGCGGCCCAGTGCGCCCTCATCCTACGAGCTCACATCCCAGCACTCTGTGGTTCTACCACCCAATACCACCGGCGACCACAAGCTTTCCGAACTTGAGATGATGACAAGGCAATTATACTCACCCAAATTGAGACAATGTCCGCTTGATGTGACCTAAGGGAGGCCCCGAATTGCCCTAAATGAGTACATTGGAAAACCTGAAGAGATTCTGACTCTAGAAATAGTATGACGATTAGATGGTTTGAAAATAGTACACGGCTAAATAAGACCAATAATTCACTCTGCAGTAAGGGCATGAGCGATGTCTGCGATGTGCTCTGGGCGTGATTGTGGGGGGAGTTAAGGTTAGGTCCGCATATTAATTGCATCCCAGCGGACCCATCTGGAACCTGTTGGCTAGCACGTCAAACCAGGATGAGGTCGCGTAAGAGAAAATACAGGTATTGCTTCGCTTAAAGCTCTCAGGTCAGAACAGAACAATATCAAGTTGATTGCTTGAGAAGAGTCTTTGGTAAAGATTACGTATTGGAATCGGAGAAGCCCGTCGTGGAAGCTGTGCTGCCTTCCTGGCCAGACTTGTAGATCCTGATCATTTTGCCTTCGCGCACATATCCATGGACTTCTCAGTATGGCACTCGAGATCGTTAGGTTACTCTTGGGGCCTCCCTAAGACTTGAAATAAGCCAGTCTTTAGACGAAATCGACTCTTCTCTATACCCATTACCAAGGCAGTGGGGCCATCGAAGTTGAAATGTGTTGAGAAGCAGAGTGATTTTAGAGTTGGCTTTGACATTGACTATTACTGGGCACTTAGTAGCTTGGTTTGTCAGGAGTCTTTGCTGGTACTAACAGTGACAAAAATATAACGAGACGAGACGAACCTGATTGTCATCGAACCAGGATATCCTACATCAAAGGAGTATATTGCAGGGGATTGGTTTGTGGCTACAATCATGAGTCAGCAATTCATCTACAAGACTACGAAGGCCCTCTGACGATTTTGCAACTTAGACCAATGTATGCTGCGGAGTCATTGCAGCGAATCTAGGTCAGTTGACTTGCCAGCTATCAGGAACTTCGACATGTCACAGTACTCACTATATTTCAAGGTAGACTCCATTGGACGACACATATGATTTGGGAATCCTCCATTTGGATGTTTACATATTTGGGGAAGAATTATGCTTGCTCCGTCGAGTGCATTCCAAAAGCCCGTTGAAGGACTAAATATATCTAATGTTGAAACACATAACCCATCCAAGCCTCGAGCCACGGCTGAAGGCCCAAACATATCTTCAAGCCTTGACACACTCGACGACCTGTAATTCATTATCCATACCATGTACCTTTACCATTCTCAGTCCCGCACGGGTGATGATGTCACTGAAAGCAGTGGCCGTTCTGTCTTTGCCAGCAATATTCAACATTGTGAAGTCCAGCATGCATTCCAAGTCCAAGTCGGAGGCGGATTAGGGATGATGTTGTCGGCGATCAGGAGCCTGCTATCGGATGCCATGGTCTCAGCGATTTGTATTAGTATGTTGACACAAGTCTCATCGCCATAATTATGTAGGCATCGACGTATCCAATAAACCAGAGCGTCTGAGAAAAGCCATGAGTCAAGGTTTCTGTGAGTTTGAACAGGATAATGAAGTACTGACGCTTGATAGGTTGCCTCGTATAAAAGTTGTGGATTTGTAACTTAGCATCTTTCAGCCACGTATCATTCATTGCGGCTACATGATTGAGCACGTCCTCTTTATCTTCGAGAACAACGCGTTCCACTGGGATGTATCAGATTTCCTGCAATATGGCCTTGGCGACGTGACCATTTCCGGCGCCGACGTCCACAAGGACTGCCCGTTGCTCGCCCACGTTTCGGATTTTCTCCTTGATCCAAGTGAAGTCGTATGAGCCGGTGAAATGTGCCGCATATTGTTCAATTTGCATGACTTTCTGGAATTGGTCCCTTCTCTTTGGTTCTTGGTAGTAAACTTCGTACGGCGTTACCTCTGGCTGGCCGAATCCAGAGGCCAGTGGTGTTCGGATCTCAGAATCTGGCTCCCGGCGGCCGTACTTTGCGAAGGATTCTGGTATTTTCACAGAAGGCACGATAGTTTCCTCATACCTGGACCCCTTTAGCACCGAAAGAACATAACTTAGATAAGGTCTACGTTTTCTTACTAGAAACTAAACACGACTGTATCCGTCAAGCCAGGAAGATAGCGTTGGGAGATCTCGGTATGTGCCAAACCCTCTTCACCTACTTGTATCAGTAATCCACGCGCGGTCAGATGTCGTGCAATCCGTTCTTCAATGTCATTAGCATCGGGATGCCGCGCAAAACGGAGCCTTTGATAACCAAAGACTTGTCAGCGTTGAGCTTCTTGGAAAGTTCGTCATACGAGATAGTTCCACTTGGAGGAATTGCTTCAAACGCGTTCCAATCAATGAAAAGCTTCATGACAACGAACTCGCCGAATCCATTGACCCTTGTAGTCTAGTCGGGCATATCAGGCCGGGCAGTACCGATGACCCTTTCCGCAATTTGTGTAATTTTTTCATCCATCTCAGGTTGCTTTAACGGGGATTCAACGAAAGCAGATAGCTTTCCTATAAGGTCAGAAAGCAGCTCAGTGGTGGAAGACATCTCTGAAATGTTGATATATTAAGAGTGAGCTACAGGGTCGCAATTCTAGATAGCAGATCCCATGGCTCATACTGCCGAGTGCGCACTGGCTTTATACAGCCCAAATGAGTTGATATAGAGTTCTCTACATCTCATAAATCAACGCAATGATGGTGTGTGGCTCCCGCGTCTTCGTGTTTCTCGCGTTTACGAGAGGAAACCCACGGCGAGTCCGAAACCGATGGGGCGCAACAGATGAATTCAGCATAACACGAAGTGGGTGCCCATACTGAAGTGTATATTACCGGACCAAGTCAAGATCTTATTACCGGATTCATGGGCGTGCGAGACCAAGAGCAGCATCACAGCGACGATGGTAGCGCACATTCTTCTATCGATATGTGGTCTCGGCAGCGTCAAAGTCCATAAATTTCGTAGCAACTTGCAAACATACCCCTTCGAACTTTCTCGTACACCGCAATTTTGAATCGCATGCTTTACTTCCATTACCAATAGACTATGCTTACAGTCGTGATGAACGATCAACCTGTAGAAATCAATCATATAGAGGACTTCAAAAAACTATGCACAGTAGGTGTGACTCATGGTAGCGATGAAGCACGCTTGTAATATGTCATGTTAGTGATACCGGCATATTTGCTACTTTGATGATCTGAACATGAGTGATGAAGTAGTATGATTGGCTTGTGCAATTTCTATTCCCAATGCTTGCGAAGGTATCCATGAGGTAAACATGAAGAAACGAATACAATGATCACCCAATATTCCACTCACCACTGCATCAGGGGTTGATGGGAGCTTAAATAGGGGATTGCGTATGCCAAGCTCGGATATTGAATCAGACGAAGTATAACCCAATGTTGTTTCTCATGGACTCCGCAGATTTGCCCGGAATGCCCTCTTTAGTGAGACGTCAACATAAGCCTCTGCTCATGGTTGTACAAGCTGGAACAGTATATGTGCTGTAATACTGCAGGATATGCTCGGAGTAGAGCGTTCAATGCGTGAAAGATCAGATCATATCAATGAGCCGAGTACCCCCCATCGACGCAAATGGTTTGCCCTGTGACAGTAGCACTTGCATCACTCGCCAACCATACGGCAACTCCGGCAAAGTCCTCGGCCTTGCCATTACGTCCAGTCATTGTCCGCGCCGCATGTGTCTCCGCCTTCTCCGTATCCGAAAAGACCTCTTCAGTCATCGGAGTGTCCACGAGTCCCGGCGCAATGGCGTTGCACAGAACCCCGCTCGGCGACCAGGCCTCGGCTTGAGAGCGCGTAAGCGACACCAAACCGCCTTTTGCTACACCATAAGCACCGCTGTTGCCAAATGCGCGGAATGACTGCTGGCTGGCAAGATTGATAATGCGTCCGCTTCCGCGCTCTGCCATTCCCGGGCCGAATGCTTGGCCTAAGGCAAACGGGGCAGTTAGGTTCGCGGCGATGGTGTAGTCCCAGTCTCCTTGTGTTATTCGTGACAATGGCGGGCGGTTGTTGACGCCTGCTGCGTTGACGAGGATGTCTGGTATGCCGTGCGCGGACTTGATGCGAGCGCTGGCGTGGTTGAGGTCTGCTAGGTTGGCGAGGTCTGCCGTGATGGACGTCGCGGGGACACCAAGTTGTGTGAGCTGATCGACTGTCGCTGCTAGAGGTTGTGATCTCCGTGCAATGAGTATGATTTTTGCGCCGGCTTGACCTAAGGCGAGGGCAATTTCTTTTCCGATTCCTGAGCTACCACCAGTGACCACTGCTGTTCTGCCCGCCAGACTGAAGAGGCGGGTGAGATAGGTCGGCAGAGTGCTGAGATTTCTCGCCATTGTCCAGAGTATTCTGATCTTACCTGTTCAGTAAGAAAAGGAACCAAAATGACAGAAATCAATATGAAAGATGTAAGAGTTATCGACTTTATGTGACGGTAAGTACGGTAGAAGGTCGGCCTTTACTGTGAGTCGAGGTGGATGTACATGGCGTATTCTTGAAGTGTGACTCTAAGTCAAGTGTGTGTGTGACTAACCGACCCTTGTAAGTCAATTCTGGGGTTAGTGTTTCGAGGCGAGGGATTTCACATGCAGCTACCGGCGTTCATAATACACTTAGAGTGAACTAGGACGCCTGCAACACCCGATACTCCAACTTTTCTAGGTGGGAAATATTGCACGTGACGGACATCAGTTCGGGAGATGATGAACAGCACCAGTTTTTACTACTCAAGCCCTCGACTGGCGAGGTTGGCTTGCATGCACAGGTGAGTTTGGCTGCCAATTGCAAATCCGGCCCAATGCACGGTGGAGGCTGGGAACAGCATGCACGAATGGTATGCAGCAGCAAATGAGAAGGGTAACTGCATCATTGGATAAAGTCGAAGTCTCTAACCCGCCGAACAGGCATCTGTATGTTTGGTTTATTTTCAAAATGCGACATAATCCTCCAAGTGCAGAAGTAAGCGCTTCTTAAGATGTGTATGAGAAGCTCCGGAAGATCGTGACTTAGCGCTAGGCTAGTTCAGGTGACGGTGTCAAGCGCAGTGGCACCTGTCAAGCTAACTCCGATGCTGGCCCCAGATGCGGGGGTTAGCTCAATTGCATTCGTGTGTGGCATTTCGGGACTTCTATGATCAGTTGAAACTCCAGATGTTGACTTCAACCTGTGTATGAGAAATTGGGAACCTTACCACCTTAAACGCCCGGAGAGACTTGAGGGAGACCGCCGCAGAGAAGTATGAAAAGCTATCCGGGGTCTTGCCAGAAGGTCGCTCGAAGATGAAGTAAAGGGGAAGGCTGCCTTTGAGTAACTAGCTGAATACATACGTCTACGTGATGGCACATGACATACTTGAACGAGGAGTTCCACAAGCGCGTATAAGATCATGTTGTGATTGTGTGGTTTCTTATTGGATCTATCGTACTGGATGTTATTATCCAACACTACTACAATGTCATACCCTCGAAGCATTCATCTCTCATCAATCGTCTAATCGTCAAGCATTCCCGTCACTTTCCATAGAACCACATACTACCCAGTGCCCTGAGACTAGAACGGCGGCAGACAGTTCAGTGCAATGAACTGGTTCTTGGGACTGGCATAGAAATGGAACGCAAACAGCCACAAGTATCCGATCGACTTCCCAACTCTTCCACTCATCTTATGATAGAACCGAGGGAAGTAAGTCTGAAGGCCATAGAGAAAGGCCGTTTCCATGATCATCGCGATGTAGTTCAACATCCACCACCAGACCTCCACACCAACGTGGCACTTGATTCCGCAGATATACTCAGTGCCAGCATGGAAGATACCACTAAGGAAGAAGATGAGTCCATTCAGGACCCAGCGAGTCTTTCCCCGGAAAGGTCGCTGACCTACGCCAAGGGTAGTCAAGATCATCTCGCCCAATCCGTTAGTGGTGCGGTAGATGAGTCGATCGAAGTATTTGCTCCAAAAGCGCCGGAGATTCCAGCCTTCGCGGATATCGCCGAAGACCGGAGGCCACTCTTCGGGTTCATCAATGTGAAGCGCTACGAAGAAAAGGGCGACGGTTGAGTGGATGAAGGTGTACCAGTAGAAAGCGCCCCAAACGCCCTCGAAGGCGAAGTAGCAGCGGATAACCACCTCCCGTAGGTCGGTCTCATTTCGAAGGAGACGGCGGAAGTAAGAACGTTTGTGGGGGGCAATGTCTTCATGGGAATACCAGGCGTACGTGTCCCAAACGTAGTCCTTGACACGTTCCAAGATGAAGATGAGAGTGATCTTGGCTATCGTAGCCATGATCCAGCGGTTTCTTGGACTGAGAGAGTTCCAAAAGCGGGCAAAGAGCTGGCTGGTTTTGTTCCAAGCGTTATGGCTGACTCGAAGTACAAAGTAACGGGAACTGTTGATCCGTTCGAGCATACTTTTGTTGTTGTTTGCCTCAGCCGAGCTCTGATCCAAGTTTTCATTGTTGATGGTGGCTTTCTCGGCGGATGTCTCTTCGATCGTAGCTGTGATGGATGCTTCTGCGAGCTGCCTCTTGCGCTCTTCGTCTGCCATGATCAAGTGGAGGACAGGAGCCGGACGACTGGTGTTGACAAAGCGTGCGTTCCACATGAGTTTGTAGGTGGCGAGGATGCGTTGTCCCCAAGGAAGTTTCTTTTGCTCTTGAGTAACGGCGATATCTTCCCATAGTATCATAACAGCTGCACCCATGTTTTGAATGACGAGTACCTGAACAAGGGTGATCTTGACAGCGTAGAAGATTGGTAGGTTGGAGACTTGTTGAATGATAGCGGCTGCCAAGGCGAGGGATGCACCGACGAAGGCTGTGCGATATCGGCCATTGGAGTTGAAGGCGATTGCGAGAGAAGCCAAGTTGAGAATGTAGATCAGAGCTGGGTAGAAGAGTATGTCTGTCTGAATCAGATATCTCTGTGACCGGATATGGTCGAGAAAGTGATTGGCCAATGATTCCCATATTCCAATGGGCTCGCCGTACATGTGATCCCAGTCTGAATCTGTCCAATTCCATTCGGGGCCAGTGTAGTTCCATAGGCTTGCCTGTTCCTCAATAGTAGGCGGCATGATATCCATCTTCGGAATAGAAGCTATAGTTGAATTGATATCCATGGCGAGATTATCGTCCAGGGGTTTCCAAAAACAATGGCAGAAATGTGCTTCAAGTCTGTTACTTGCAGGCAGACTTGCGTGGCTCAAACGGATATCTCAGGGCGTGGAAATGTGAATGGAGGATGGATTGAGCATTGATGTGCGACTAATAGAGGATGGGAGAGCGCTTCTTATAGGGTCAGAAACCTGGACCTCTTCCTTGGAATGCAAGAGAGTTTGGCCGTTAGACGGCGCACAAGTGTACCTTACCTTACTGGCTGGTAGACTTCAAACCTTCAGTCTACATGTATGGCTTCATCCTGACCGGGAGTTTTAACTGGAGAACAATCGGATGGGTATGGATTCAAGGGTAGCTCCGATAGGATTGAACAGACTCAAAACACATTTCAGTGATGCACCTATCTCCTATAGTTTCTCGGTTTCCTAGACACACAGGCGACTTTTGGGCGATAATAGGCGGAGCACTGAGAGCGGTTGGAGGGATCGGATCCATCGTCTCACTACTTACTTGCCACAGTAATAAATTGAAGTGTGCTACATTGTGTCTGAAGAAGGTAAGTAGAAATAAATACCGATAGACATTCGAGCATATGCTGCTTGCTTTCTCCCCCGGATTATCAAACCACCCGGCACAGTCTTCCATTCTCGTGGGGGAGCTTATTTTCGGTGACAACTTCCCAGAACTCACTACCGACAGCAGTCGCAGCATAGAAAACATCCTCAGGGTCCCATCTACGTTTCAGCTCCAGCAACCGAGGGTATTTGCTGTCGCCATAGAACGACTGTTGGAAATTCGGCTCCATCCTGTCCGACTCAGCAAGGTATGAGCCAGCACCTGGAGAGACATCTCTCCACCGCTGCATATCTCCGAAAGTGAAACCTTTGCGGGCTTCTAAAATTTCCTCCGCGGTGGCATTTATGGACCACCTGACGGACTGGAGAGCGAACAAGATATTCTCGCGCCAGGCTGGGTTGACAGCGTTGTCTGGGTCATCGGGACTGATGGCCTTGATGTTGAATCCAACAAAGACGTGATTAGTCTCGAGGGATGTGCGGATAGCTTCAAAAGTGGCCTGCTTCAGCTCTTCGCTTTCGAAATTCTTGCGGGGAAAGAGACGCGAACCGCTTTGAACGTTTACCTTCTCGACTACCTCGAGCGGGAAGAAGTCTTTCCAGGCAGGATAGAAGCTTTGGTATTCTGTGATATTAGGTTCGAACCTAATCCCGAGATCGTGGAGCTTGGTGAACCATGGGTCTAGCAAACTGGTCACTTCCTTTGCTGTCTTGTTGGGTGCGAAGAAGGGCGTCATCTGGAAGAGAAAATTCCCAGGGCTTGGGTTGTTGTGCAACAAGAGGAAGTACGAGTACGTGCCATTGTCGGCGTTGTGAATAAAAGAGTCGAAGTAGCTGCGTACACCACTCCAAAAAGTCTCGTTGGACAGACCGTCCGCCGTAGAGAATTTGAACGCCGAGGCAGTTGTGGGAACGTCTGGAAAGGCCTTGACTGTGACCGAGATTGCTACAGCAAAGGTCGAGCCACCACCACCTCGAAGCGCCCAAAATAGATCAGCATTTTGGCTGTGGTCTGCAGTCACAAGGTCTCCGTCCGCTGTCACGACCTCGAAGGCCAGGGCTTGGTCTGCCCCAGTACCATATATCGAACTCAGGGGAGAATGGCCTCCACCCTGTATGTACCCTCCCATCACCCCAACAGTCTAGGAAAAGTTAGTTCCAATATCGTTCAGTACTATCTTGGTCAACGCACCTGTCCTTCGCCACCAACAACAACTCTACCGTATTCAGACGCCACCTTGTATATCTCGAAAGCTTGAACACCGGTGCCACATTTGAAAGCAGGACCAGAGTATCCCTCGGTATCGTCGATAATATTCTCGATGAATTCAATGCTTTTCAGGTGATGTGTCCATATACTCAATGACTCTCCACCACCCGATTTGCCTGAGAAGTCATGTCCTGTATTCTTGACTACCAGTCTCACACCCGTCTCTTTGGCAAACTTAACGCCTTCTTGTACGTGCTTGGCAGAAGTGGCATTAATTACGTACCACGGGAATCCACCCATGGTACAGTTGCCAGAGTCGTAAATGTTGGGTGGCAAACACGTGAGACCCTGATAGACGGGCGAGAACATTTCGATAGGGTCATCAAGGTGGGTGTAGGAGTTCGTCCAAGTGGCCGTCATGCTGGCACAGGCGGCCTCATCGTACTCGGCGCCACTGTAGCATGCTGCTGCCTGCGGTCGTGGCTTAAGGAGGCGGTTTTCTACCCGTTCATTGAGAGCCGCCCAAGCTTCGTCAGAGGGCCAGGAGATGTCACCTGGATATACTTTGCAACGAGCCGATGCGATGTCTGCTGAAGCCACCAGAGCGTACAAAAGTATCGCTGACAGTCGAGAAGCCATGGCTTAATTGCGCTGACAGAGCTGTCATGCATAAAAGTGTAGCAGATGCCGGCCCCAAATCTTGGATGAAGATTCAGACACTATGCCGCGTTTTAAGATGAAAACTTCATAATCAACCTTCTTTATAGATTTTGGGAATGAAAAGTGCGGGGAGGATTTCTTTTTTAGCGTTGCAGTAAGAATGGCGAGCCCTCATCATCGTTCCCCTGTCATGTTAAGCCAAGATGACGATCTTCACTAGAAACAGAGGAGATTTCCGTAGCATGTCAGCGTCGTACCGAATTTCCACGCTATTGACCAGCGTCAACTTGAATTCGTATCTGAGTCTTGACTCGTCCATGCTGAAACCTCCAGGAGACTCCACGTCGGCAATTGATACAACGGTTTACACGGAGACTTCGCAAGTCGCGGGCATCCAGGCTAACTCACATCATGTTGCCTAAGTAAGAATCATTACACGGTTCAGTTCTCTTGTGCTTGAGATACCTAGAAATAGAGGGGGAATCACACGAATTGCGAAAGACTTCATTTCATATCAATTTTTTGAATCTACCCTGACACCGATAGACTGTCCAAACTCGAAGAAAGAATTACTGCATTTGCTGCGTGGTGGTCGTCTGATCTGAATCTTCTTGCTTCGCAGTCATTAAAAGCTGGAAATCCATTGCGAAAGTTGGTACTAAGCCCCCTTTCCTCTTGTGAAACTGATAACTCAAAAGCTATGGCGTACATTCGTCATATGTTGTGGTTTTCGTAGGTATGTCCGACTTGGAGTGTATTGACAACTCCGTGTGTTTTCGTGTATGATCGCGTATGTTCGCTCGGCTCTTATTCTAGCTGAGATCATTTTGAACCATGAAGTTGACGCTGCACTCGTGAGATGCGGGGAAATCAAGCAGCCCGTGCAGCGCCGTTGAGATCTTGGCTCAGGTTTTGGCTGTTGTTTCCAACGGTACTATTTGGAACGTTGCCGAAGGATGATGAGGATCCATTCCCGTTGTTGATCTGGTTTTGGAATCCATCCCAGGGTTGAGCTGCTTGGTTCGCTATGTTGCTGGAATTTCCGGCCCTAGGTCCACTTCCGTGACCAGCAAATTGTTGATTCTGAACATCGTTCGAGGTTTGTGTCACTTGATTCCTCGGGATCCCTAACCAAAGAGTAACCTCCCTCATACAGACCGTTCCGTGGTTGCACATGAGTGACACCTTGCCTTGCATTTTCATGCATGTCGACATGACTATATTCCGTGTAAAGTCGTCTAGTTTTTGGACCTCTGGGTCCGTCAAGCCTGAGACATAGAGACCAATCTGTCCATGCATGGGGTTCAAACTCGGATCGAGATCGGTCGTGAATCCGCTAAAAGAGGCCTGTTTGAAGATGAATCGTTTTCGGATCAGGTTGGGTGGTTGCGGATTGCTGCCGGGCGAGACTACTTCGAAGAAGTGATCAGGGCGTGAAAGGTATCCCTGCAGAAAGACGGAGAATGTCTCCGTTTGAGGCGAGGCGACGGCCATGGTGTTTTTTCTCTTTTTTCTGGTAGCAAATGAGCAATAAAATCGGTCTTATTGGAGTGTTCAGATAGTATTTTCGGGGGTGCAAATGGTGAAAGAGATTAGATTGCGTCCGGCTAACGATTACAATTTATAGCACCCTAGCCGGAGGCTTTTTTGCATGAGGGACGCGTTACATACCAAATAGCCTCGTCGCCTTATGTAGCAGCTTGAAGTAGTGGCGGAGACAGAATCAGCGAATCGAATTCCTTACCAAGGCACTCTGTAACCTAGATCAAGACGATGGAAGCCAAAGCTGGCCACTCAGCGTCATGATATGTGACACGTTCAACGCATGCTTTAAGGTAGATAAGGTGGCTGAACTCGAAAAGTTAGACTGAGCCGCGAAGGTACCCTCAATTATGGTCAGACCACGGGTGTAGCAATTCTTAATAGTACATAGACGTGTGAGAGATCAATAGGGGGCTTGCTTCAGCAGCAGTTCAACACTGGAATGAAGAATCGTAAGACGTGCTGAAAGCCTGTGATATTTGGTGATGAAGCACGATCACGAATTCATGGCAGGAATCCGAGCCAATGTTGCTGAAGCTTGCCCTATATTACTCTCCCGTATGCGCGTAGCCACACCCGAGAGACGGATGCATCATGTAGCCGGTTCTGGTAAATAGAAACTTCCGTGAAATTATTTCTGGAAGCCACTTTCATGTCCTCAGCATGTAAACTTTCCATCTGAGAAGTAGTAACTGTGACTGTGTGTGCCGACATTGAGCGATCTTTGCTACTCATGACCTATCACTGCAGCATTCCGCCAGCAGGAATGAGTTCTGCTAGGGGGGCTGTGTCAGTTGGCTGGGCGGGCTGTGTCCCACTTCTCCTAGACTAATTCGACCAATGAGAGGCCAGGGATTATTCCGACCGATTTCTAGGTACTACTGCTAATTGCCCACTTCTACTTCTACTTTTACTTCCACTTGCCTACTTTAACTTATTAACTCCAACCTCGCCGTCGCTTTTTATAAAAAGTGAAGCTATTGCGAATCAAAATTAATAGAAATCGAGATTCGTCGAGATCTCTTGATTACTATAATAAAAGCTAAAATAATTTTCGAATTATATAAGTTTACGTAAGCCGGTTCTGCGCGAGGCTGGTAGTGGAAAGCTGGAATTATTAATTGCTTGCCGTAGTTAGCTGAGAAAATCGCGATTATCCTATTGGTTAGAAAAAGTGGGACACAGCCCGCCCAGCCAACTAACACAGCCCCCCTAGCAGAACTCGCAGGAATACTCCCGGATCATCCTGATCTGTGATCACATAGGCGACCCGGCGGAATTTGGCATTATGTAGCAAGTCTAGGGACTTGCTTTTTTGAAGTACCTTGAGCGTTTCTTTCCTCTCGTTGGTGTGCCGAGTCCGCCGGTTTTCTTCCCAGAGGGCATTCATTCTTACTTCCAGTTGCATCTGTGCGTTTCAGGTTGGAGTATAGCGATACCCTGAGGAATTTCTGCATTTCACCTGTGGTAGGGAGACTGAGTCTCATTGTTTGCCCCTGCTAGCTTCAAACACCGCTTCCGTAGTCTCAAGGTCTCATTAAGTTATCTCTGCCCCTTCCTTAAGCGGCATCAGCCGAGTAATATAGCCACGACGGTGATGATTCCAAGAAATGCATTGTAACTTGAGTCGGGTTACAAAATTTCATCTCTTGAGGTAAGCGTGAGATTATGCCTTCACCATTTCCTCGAGCCTTCACACCGCATGAGCTTCCTGACTCAGGTCCTCATGAATCTGCGCCTGGGCTACGGTAACATGCTAGGCGTCTTGAAGCCTATTTGTCTGAGTTTTGAACTGTACGGTATTCTTAGCAGTACTGTTTCGGAAAAAAGGACACTAACCAGAATAAAGCAGAAGTATCGTTGTTTGGCATGTCTGGATATCACATAGAGTGAGCTCAAGCTCAGACTATTTGGCACTATTCAGGTATTAAGTCAACGGTGTGCAGCCTTTCCATCGAAAGATGCATTCTAGGTAAGTTGCATGGGCGTTGCTTTAGATGATGTTCAGAAGGTCTCTGTTTCTGTAAAGTCTGACGGTGTGGTTGCTGGGACGATGAAGTATTGTTGAGTACATAGTAATTGTATTATTTAGTCGTAAAGTCACCCAATAGTCAAGGCTACGTGGGAGGTTAGATGAGATGATGCGAGGCCCTGTAGATGCTAGCGCCGGATACTAAAGATGCACCCTGAAGAACTAGATCGCGTCGACCCAGCGCGCTTCGAGCCGAATCGAAGTGGGACTGAGGAACAAGGACCTCGACATGGATAGCTCTGGAATCTTGTTGTGCCAGAACCCCACGGGAGCAATCTCCCTTAGCAATCGTGGTGACTGTTGACGGAAACGGAACCCCGAACATGAAATCAAACATTGGACAAACCGTTGAGGGTGCCACTGATTCGACGTTGATATCGAGCCTTTGACGCAATTGACTTTTGATCCAGAATCAAACGCTCAGTGGACCAATATGACCTCGCTCGCCGCCACCTTTGTTTCGGCGAGGCAGGCTCTTAGTTCCGGTGCCCGTACCGTCTCCGGGTCGGGATTATGAAGCAGGAAACCTAGTGGGATTACCATCGAGAATTCTCCCAAAGAACGCGTATGGACCCTCCTACAAGTATTGGCAATAGGAGAAAGTAGAACGTCTGCCTGCCGCTCTTGTCTAAGTGCAGGATTGGCAGCAGCGCCCTTGGCGTCGCGATGCCAGATTGCTGGGCCGCAGCAGGACGAATAATGCCCTGATCCATCCCCGATGCGGTTCTTATGTGAATAAGCCAGCGGTCATGGTAATCAGGCCGCGAACCACAATCCTCGGATGCGATTTCCGCCGACCAAGGAGCCTTAGTACCCTGGAACTTATTCTTTTGAAGGTCTTTCGGCCGGAAGAGTCTCTAGCTCACGTGGGTCCGAACCGACACAGCCGCCGGACTCTCAGCCCCGGCGCCACGAACATGAGCCAGACCTCATTCTGGCCGGAAGGTCGATAACGCTTTGGCCAATATCGGCCGATGCCCCACTCCATCGGATTCACAAATCGGGCAAAGGAGAGTAGGCTATAATGCCATAGTCTCTGGTGAGGCTGGCTTGTGGTGCTGTCAGGATAGCCTGATGACCTGAACGTCGCGTGGCAGTCGGAGTCCGTGAGGCAAAGACATCTGGGTGGTGGCTTGCTGTTGACATGTGCATTCGTTGTTGTGAGAGACATCATGAAACGAGACAATATGCTGGCAACAGCCGGATGCGGCTTTGATTCTGAGCCCAAGGACTCGATGAATAGTGAAGACAGTAATTATCGTTATTAAATAGGCTATTACTGGCTTCAATGTTCATCAGTTGTGTTGAAGGCATCCCGTCGGCATGGCTTTATGCACCATTCCATCCACACAAACGTGATCTTCTGTGCTTGAAACATTTGAGATGTTTCGACTCCATTAACGAG